TGCTACGGCTGGTGACATAAATCCTGCAGTATGCATAATAAGGAATAATTACACCCTAATTCCCACAGTTTAGGGTCCTTCTCGCAGATCAGGGCGTGAGGGCTCGGCTTTAAATCGGGGTTTTGGAGGTTGGGAATTCTACTGATTTTTGTTCGTCGCGGCTTGGAGGTTCATGGGTAGTTATAAATGGGCTTGTACATAGGGGAACAAAAATTATAACCTCTATGAGGGGACTTATAACTCCACTTAAAACTACCCATGAACCTCCAAGTGGAGCTTCACTACGGGCTTCACTCATCGCTTACATGGTCCAGCATTTACTAATGCTTCGGCCTTAGGCCTTTGAAGTGCAGGTTAGATGAGTGCTTGCATCTGGTGCAACCCATGAACCGCTACCTCCTGAATGATGAAATCATGCCATTGAAATCACGCCATCGGTTATTCCGCAAAACCTGAGCCTAAACAACCCTGTCCCGTAAGGTCACACGGAAATATTACACAATTGGCTTCCCCCCAACATTGAGTGCAATAATAGGGTCCTTACATGTTGTACCGAACCCTTACCCCTAAACCCTAAACCGACTGAACCCTTACACGCGTAAGGGACCCCTAATTTTAAGAAGCCCCCAACTCTCCGTAATCCACAATCCATACCCGCTCAGCCTGTACGTCCTCCAAGGACAAGCCATGGCTGTGCAACAGAACAAGCCTCGGTTGCATTTCCCTAAGGGTCCATGTACTCATATAGCATATACATGGGCCTTAAAGTACCTATATAGGGACTACATTAAGGCCAATGTATATACTATATGAGTACATGGACCTTAAGGTTTTGCCATTAGGACTGAGCTTTGGACGATCCCAGGCAGCCCCATTCGGGCCATTGGAATTTACGGTCTGGGGTACAGCGTCCAGGCTGGGCTCGCTTCTTGAATCCTAAACCCTAAACCGTTACGAGTGAAGGGTATACTGATACACCCTCAACTGAACGGTACCGGGCTCTCTGCAGTTTAGGGCCCCGAAGGTAGCGGGCTCTCTACAGCTTAGAGCCCGCAAGCGCAGCCCAACGCTCAACATAGCCAAGCAACCATATTCAATATGCATATATGTATATGATATGTGTATATATATATATATAATATACACACACGTATACAATATACACATGTGTACTTCTTTATACCGATTACATACTTGTATATCTATATGTATACATATGTATATATATATATACACATACCCATATATATATATATATATATATGTCGCTCTCTCTCTCTCTCTCTTCTCTCTCTCTCTCTCTCTGTATTATATATATATACACACCCAGAGGTACATATTAGCATAATCTTTGGACCCCACAGCCTTCAAGACGGTTTCTGAGAAGCCGAGACGTAGATTTTCACCAAAGCGACGTGCTGCCCTTGAGCCCTACACCCTAAACCCAATATAGGGGCCTAAATAATTACCTATACTATTCTGGGGGGTCCTTATTATAATTGTAGTTTTATGGGCCCCCAAATCCTATTCTATGATTAAGGCCCCTACATTACTTCCTAAACCCCAAACCCTAAACCCCAAACCTGCCGAGCTGCTGCTCTTCGGGCCAGCTGCTTGTAGACAGATCCTGAATCGGTCCAGGGGTTTGTGTTGTTTTTTGTTGTTCAAGGGTTTAGGGTTTAGGGTGTAGGGTTTAGGGTTTCTTATACGCAGGTCCTTAGTCAGTGAAGGGGTTTAGTTGAGGGAGTTGATGGGAGTTGTTTCAGGTTTAGGTTAGATTTAGGGTTCAAGGTTCAGGGCTGAGGCTCTGCATCCGTAACCCTACCTTACAGTGCAAAGACAGTGCAAAGAAGATGTTCCAAAAACTCGTAATCAGAAACAACCCGTAAGGCCATTCCGACATCATGCAGAGTAAGTGCTGAATTGCTTAACCCAAGATCCATAAACTTGTCGCCAACATACGGAAGGTCGTCACAACATAGCACCTGGGCTTCTTCGGTGGTTTCGACACGGTTTATAGGCTTTGCTATGCCTGGGGGTGGGGGGCTTCAGGTGATAAGGCTCTGGTGGCGTCTCGGGAGAACCCTGGGCCGATAACTGAAAATGGAAACCCTACATAGTTGGGTTTAGGGTTTAGGGTTTAGGGTTTAGGGTATGGAACAGAATCCGACGATGTCTCAGCTACGACTCAGAACAAGTTCACAACCTGAGACTGCAAGCTGTCGTTGCTGCTAGTATTCCTTTCACCAAGCTGCAAGCATCGGCACTTTGTTTGCGAATGCTGTAGTCATTTCTGCAATGCACCAGAAGCTGCTGAACACGTTGGCACTCAGTACGGCCAAAAAAAAGTCCACATCGTTCTTCACGATGCCAAACAACGAATCCAGATCGCGAAGGTTATCTGCATCATAAAACACATGAAAGGCCGGCGCCAGCTTTGCAACCACCACCTTGATGTACCGACAAAGCGTACACGTGGACGCCTTGTGATGAGACAGGAATAACGTGTACCTGCTTGATCCTTTGCGCATGGATAAGACCGCAAAAATGGCAGCCCCCACGAAGCACACTGGCAAGCCAAGAAAAATTATCACCAATAAAATCGAGAGTTGGGTATCAGTGCCATTGTCCTGCGCAAGATAACTCCACTTATCAAGTCGTGCTGAGGGCGGCTTTCGCTGCGGTCTACGTCTCCGTCGCTTACTCTATCTCTTTTTGTCTCTGTCCCTCTCTCGCTCTGCCACCCTAAACCCTAAACCATAAACGTAGCCATGGTTTACCGGTTTAGGTCTCAGGGTTTTGCGTATCTCCTCCGAGTCCAGCAACGGCGTTGCCAAGTTGAAGAAGAGCACAGTGCAACCAGACAACACAAGTTCACTCCAGTTGGCTGCTTCGAATTTCCAAGGCCACCACAAACAGTGTACCACTTGCCTATGCTGTTGCTGTAGGGTTTAGGGTCTGGGTCAGTTTCGTGGCTTCGACACCCCACCGCAACCTGAAGCCACAACCACGCTGAAGGATTGGGGTCTAAGGCCTAGGGTTCCCTAAACCGAATGGCAGCTCAGCTGCTTGACCCAGAGAAGGATGCACATGGCGACAATCTGAGGAGCAGTTGGCAAGCATACCGGTGTGATAGCGATGAGGAAGTTCATGACCGTAAACATCAGGCAGCATTGATATCTTTCAGGCCGGAAGCGGCCAAACAAGAAGTTAAAACGGTGCAAAGTTTCAACTCCTCTGTCCTAGGTTTTCAAACACCAGCAACATTCAAGCTTTGAGTTTGGTGTCTTGATGGTTCCTAAGACCGGAACCCTAAACTCAAAAACCCGAAACCATCGAAAAGCCCTGAAGCCAAGAACACCCTGCAACACTAAACCCTGAAGAACTCTGCTTCCGCCCTAAGACCCCAAAATCCTAACAACGCCCTCAACGCCTAAAGCCCTAAAGCGCAAAGAGGATCCGAGCGAAGCCAGCGAGGATACTTGTAGGTAGCCCATAGCCTTTCTTCTTCAATAACTGGTCCCAAAAAATCCCAAACCGTCTAAAGAAACATATGTTCAGACACCCTAAACCCTAAACCCCTAAACCCTAAACCCCCCCTAAAGCCTAGAAAAGTTGAAAGGTCTCCCATGGGCCATCTAAGTAGCAGCAAGCTGAGGATGGTCACGGGGTAGACCAAAACGCCGATCCTGGGCTTGTCCCTCGTTGAAACGGTTTAAGGTTTAGGGGTTTAGGGCTGGGGGGTGTTATCACCCTTACCTCAAAGGACTCATATTTGAGGGCTTTCTGGCCCAAAGACCCTATTTATGAAAAAAGGCCCTTGGGCTAGTTTGATGCTAAGGTTAAGGGTTCGTCTAAAGGGTCCTATCCTTTGTTTGCAGTTTAGTGCTTAGTCCTATCACGGGTATGCTTTAAGGGCCTATCCGAGGTTTGGGACTTTATGGTTTAAGGTTCTACCCTATAGGTGTGGGGTTTAGGGCTTAGAGTGTCATCCTAGGTTGGGGGTTTGGGGTTTAAGGTTTGGGCTTACATAATAAGTGCACCCTTTTCTGCTGTTCTCTTCTTTTAAAAACCACCCCCGCCAAGAAATGAAAAGAGTAAAAGGGTACTACTGATGTCCCGGCATCGCTGTCAGTATTACAAGCGTCTCGTGCTCTTGCGAGTTCCAGCATATCACCTGCGGGTGGGCCTCGAGGGTGTAGGTGAGATTGGGGTTCTTCATGCACTTCAGGGGCGTGACTACAACAATTGAGATCGCTGTCAAGAGAGCCACAAGGATCAGGCCGTAGATGCTGAAAAGGACACTGAATAGGTTGATGCCTCTCCAAATTTTCACCGCTACTGCTGGCAGGCTGGTCAGAGCAACGAAAGCTGGAAATGCCAATAGTTGCAAAGCGAAGGACCATGTTGTGAAGGATGTCCCCTCGACGAAGCACGTGACACCTGTTTGGAAGCCATGGAACACCATGGACAGTACTCGAAGAAATTCTTTGACAGGTTGCACCCATTGAATGTTCAGCTGGTTTATCGCTTGCAAAGCTTGTAGTGCGATGGCTGTCTGACCAGCCATGGCCGTAGCTATTGCAAGGCTAGCAAGACTCCTCCTGGTAGTGAGGCTGGTGCATGACAAGAATAGCGCAAAGGGTGCCAAGCTGACAGAAAGGACGACTGCTGCCACGACCAAGACATACACCGTCAATAGGGTCTCACCTGAGAGCTGCTCGCCACTGGTGTCGACTACTGTTCGATGATTCGTGGTATAGGAATATTACCTAAACCCTAAACCCTAGGAGTATTGGTTTAGGATTTAGGGCTTGGGATTGTATCGACCCCCGAACACCCAATGCCGCCAGGCGGAAATCAACAGTTCTGACTCGTACATGGTGCGCTGCGTCGCCTGGGCACCTTTAAATGGTATGGTTCACGGATTGGAGATGATGTTGCGAGCACTGCCCCTAAGTCTAAGTGCAATCTGTGTGGCACGGTCTGCAAGTCTCGTCATGACCTGCCGGGGCTTGTCCGACACAAAGAGCCCTGTGAAACTATCCGAATCCGAAGGGCCCGAGTATCTATCCAACAAACATATACTTGTCTAGATTCAAAAACACATAACTGCTATCCTAAATCCGAGATTACAAAACTCCATTACTACACATCATCGCCACTATTGTTACATGGGGCCCCTACTGAGTTCTAAAAAACCCTTAAACCCTGGCTGAATTCTGAACCCGTCCTAAAAGTTAAACTTTTAGCCTCCTTATTCTAGTTCATATAGAAACCCAAAAAATTAAAGCCCTAAGCCCTAAACCCTAAACCCTAAACCCAAAAGTTAAAGTCCTAAGAGCCAACCAAAAGAGTGNNAAACCCTGAACCTTAAACCCTAAGTCCGAGTTTTCGACATCCGGCCTGCCCAGTACCCGAGGCGGCAAACAGCACAAGCTCGACCAACACGTTGGCCCGCGCAGCTACCAGGAGCGCCTCTCGGGGC